AGGTTCAAGACAAGATTCCAAAGAACGGTGAGGTCACAGTCCTCCTGATTGGCTGGCATCTCAAAAATGGTTTCCCTAGCCCCGCTAGCATGGCTCAGTGGTTGAGTGTCGACCTATGTACCAGGAGGTGAAGATTTGATTCCCAGTCAGGGCACATGTCCTGGTTGTGGCCTCGATCCCCAGCGCCCAGTGCCAAGTGATGATTCTCTCTCATCGTTGATGTTTCTATCTCTCTCTCCCTTCATCTCTGAAATCAATTAAATACACACACACACACACACACACACACACACACACTTTAAAGGCTCAGTGCACAAAATTCATGCACAGAGTAGGAGGGTCCCTCTTCCCGGCCTGCACCCTCTTGCAATCCAGGACCTTTCGGGGGGATGTCCGACTGTGAGATCGGGCCTAAACCAGCAGTAGGACATCCCTGTCGAAATTCGGGTACTGCTGGCTCCTAACTGCTTGCCTGCCTGCCTGATCACCCCTAACCACTCACCTGCCTGCCTGATTGCCCCTAACTGCTCCCTCGGAGGCGGGGCCAGCCGGGGCAAGGGGCCATGGTGTTCTCGTCTCTGGTTGTTCTGGTCGGTCCACGGTTTCAGTAGCTGGGCTTTTATTATATAGGATATATCATTTATTAAAAAAAAAAAAAAAAAAAAGAAAGAAAGAAAGAAAAAAAGAATGTTTTGCCTAAAGCCCTCCCAGAAGACAAAATGATATTCTTTGGTTTTAAAAATGACAAAAAGGGAAGAAAACAAAACAATGGGCAGGGCTCTTCTTTTAAGACCATCAAATAGTACTTAAGTGAGAATAATTGTGTGTTAGACGCCAGAGGGAGGGGCACTAGGGAAACCCCAGGTTTGAGCTCAGAGGAGTGTGTGTGTGTGTGTGTGTGTGTGTGTGTGTGTGTGTGTTGCTGCCTGAAGCCACACTGAGCTGCAGAGGTCCTCGGAGGAGCCCCTGAGCTCACCTCTGGCTACTGAGGCCCACGTGGACAAGACACGGATGCCACGCTCAGGGCGTGCTGGTCACACCAGCCGGCCCGCTGACACGGGGAAGCAGTTTATCCCGTTCCGCCCACGGAGGGCGGCCTCGGCGGGCCCCACCCACACGGCAAACCGCCGGGCCCACCCCACCCGCCCGAAATGACACCTCAGAGCACCTGTGTGAAGTCTCCGGGGGTTTCTACACATAAAAATTAGTCAATTAGCAATGATTACCGTATGTTAGGTGAGCGCGGGTTGTTATTATCATAATTTTACAGAGAAAATGAGAGTGGTGGAGGTGCCAGGAGAAAAATTAAAATTAACGAGTTCCTAGATCATAGGCCTGAGCTGCAAGGACTTTAAAGAGCTTGCTTATTAAAAAAAAAAAAGAAGAAGAAGAAGAAGAAGAAGAAAAGGAAAGGAAAGGAAAGGGGGGAAAAAGCATAGCATGCTGTAAAGGGAAACTTGAATATTACAAAACAGACTTTCCGAATTAAAACTGTTCGATTTATTCATGGAACTAGTGCTGGGATCTGTTTTTCATTTATGACTGGAAACTGCTAGGTGTTTTTTGTTGTTGTTGTTGTTGTTTGTTTTGTTTTGCTTTGTTTTGTTTTTTACAAACCTTCCTATACATCTGGGAGGGCGGGCCATTGGTGTTTGGTGGGAGATTCCGTGTTGTCACGGGTCTTCCCTCTTCAAATCCATTTCCTCGTTTATTTATTTTTTTCCTTCTTAGGAATCACCCGGGTCTCTGATGTCTTAGGAACCTGGATCCAGGAAGATTTGGGTAAGTTGTATTCGATGAGTGTCCTCTGTGAACCAGTGCCCCACGTGGCCGCTTTCTTAGAGACTTGAAAAGTTGAATTTGATTTTAGGAACTGGTCCGTCCTGGGATTTAGTGGAAGGAGGAGGGTCTGTGGGTGCGTAAGTCATTTTGAATGAATTTTATTAAAAGGAGCATTGAATCGCCTTCTCACGTGCATCTTCCCTTCCCAGCTGACTGCTTCCAGGCTGGGGTCCTGGTGATGTTTGGGAGGGCGATTAGTGTGCGTGGCCTTCGTTGGAACTACCAGGAGAAGGATGCTCTTTGGGTGGGCGTGGCGAGCCTGCAGGATGCAGGGCTGTGTGTGCCACCATGGAGACCTCTGGGGAGCCCCCCCCAGGAGAGCCCAGGGGGTTCCGGGTGGGGCTGATCCCCAGGGTGAGGGAAGGCGGCAATGCCTGCGGGAAGCCGGCCCCATCAGCAGTTCCCGGGGGAGCCGGCTGTTCAGAATGCAAGGGACTTCGCGAGGGGAGCTGTGTGCACGTGCGGGTGCGCTCCCCAGACAGCCACCCTGTGATTTGTCTCCCCGTGCCGTGCCCTGGCATCACCCGTGAGGAGGTCCGAGAGCAGCGCTTACCTGGAGCAAGAGAGGGAGCTGGTCTTCGTCCGACAGGAGGGGGCACCTGGACACCACGCCCCTCTCTGAAGGACTCAGACCTGCTCAACTGTGCCCTCGGCGGCCCGAAGCCCCGCCCTGCTCTCCAGCACCCCCAAATCCAACACCCCCCAACCAAGCACCCCCCAATCCAGCATCCCCCAATCCAGCAACCCCCCCCAAATTATCACCCCCCAATCCAGCACCCCCCAACCAAACACCCCCCCAATCCAGCATCCTCCAATTCAGCAACCCCCCAACCAAGCACCCCCCAATCCAGCATCCCCCAATCCAGCAACCCCCCCAAGCAAGCACCCCCCAATCCAGCATCCCCCAATCCAGCAACCCCCCCAAGCAAGCACCCCCCAATCCAGCATCCCCCAATCCAGCAACCCCCCCAAGCAAGCACCCCCCAATCCAGCATCCCCCAATCCAGCACCCCCCAACCAAGCACCCCCCAATCCAGCAATCCCCCCAACCAAACACCCCCCCAATCCAGCATCCCCCAATCCAGCAACCCCCCAACCAAGCACCCCCCAATCAGTTCAAAGTCCTCACCACGTGTGCCCTGCAGGCTCCCTGAGATTAGGTCCTGCCCTGCCTATGTCTCTGCCTTTACCTGCCTCTGTCCTCCCCTCTCCCCGCTGCGTCAGCTCTGGGCCAGCTCTATCTTAACCCCTCAGCACCTTGGCAGTCCTGTCCCCTCTGCCCAGAATACCCTGCTGTCATTGCTGGCTCCTTCTCACCGTTCAAGGGACAGATCAGACCCCCTTCCTTCCCCCCCTTGGGAACGGGCTCCTCTGGTTTCCGAGTCCCCACGCTGTTCATTTCAGCCATGAAACACATGCCTGGCCCCCCAGCCTGACAGACAGGGGTTCTCTCCCTGATGCTAAAATTAACCCGGAGGCGCGGCTAGCACACACATACTCTCATTTGCCTAAAGAGGGAGGCCCCACCCACCCACCCTACCCCTGGCCTCAGCTGCAGCATTTCATCAGCCCCTGGCCTGGCCGGGAAGGGGGAAGTGGGGGGGAGGGGAGAGGAGAGGGTCTCAGAGAAGCTACGCCCAGAGCAAGCACTAATCTCCCGTTTACGGTGTCTGCCAGCAGGGCCTGGGCCTCAGAACCAGTTTTGGTTTGGAGATTATCACCCTGTTGACAGGAGCCCACCCCGGGACAACGAGAAGCCCACACACCTCTGTGGAATGAACCTGCTTCTGGCCCGTTCACGGAGACACGGGCCTGAGCAGCCTCCCACAGGAGGGAGGACCGGGCACTGCTCCCTGGGACTGAAACCGATCCAGTCCGCCCCATGCCCGCCAGAGAAGGGCACCGACTAAAGCAGCTGGATGGAAGGCCCTCAAACGGTCAACAGGCGCCCCCCTTAAAACCCGGTTTAAGGTCACTGCCCAGTGGCTGCTTCTGGAAGGTCAGTTCCAGCAATAGCCCCTCTGGACACGAGGGCGATCCTTGCACTCCAGGAAGCCGTTAAGTAGCGAAGGTCAGAGGTCGCAGCAGCCACAGAGGGAGAAGGAGAAGCAAAAGCCATGGGTGAACGGACGCTGTCATCCCATCCGGCCTCTCAGGCCCACAGCCGCCCTGAGCCCAGGGGTCCAACTTCAGAAACCGGCGGCTTCTCAGCCTTGGGAGAGAGTGTCCCGTCCATGGGTGATGCTGGGAACCCCCAGGTCTTCCTTCCGCACGCAGAGGCTCCCCGTCCTGGTGGGAAAGGCCCGATGACACTCCTGGGCAGCCACGTCCCATCTGGATGGCACCGGGACCAGAGCTGCCCTGTCCCCCTGGGAGCCCAGGCACCTGGGGGCTCTCCAGGCCTGGGGTCAGAACCCGAATCCGCGTGAACATCTGGGGGTCACCGCTGCCCGCGGCCCTGCAGGACACCTTGGTGTCCCGGCCTGGAGGCGACAGGGGGGACCCAGCCACCAACGGGGTGCAGAGCTGGCCTCTGAGCCCAGGCTCCCCACAGTCCAGAACAGATTCCACAGGGGCCGTAAGTGCCCGCATAGCGGCGCAGACAGAAGCGCGAAGGGGGCGGGGAGGGGGCGGGGAGGGGGCGTGGAGGGGCGGGGACCGGACTGCCCAGAAGGGATGGCGGCGGTCCAGGAAGGGGCTCGGCCATCCGGGTGGGGGAGCCACAGCAGCCTAAGGCTCCAGACTCAGGGAGCCTCTTCTAGGCTGGAATTTGCCTGCAGAAGCAAAAACTGCTAGAGAGGGGCGGAGAGCCCCCGGAGAGGAGGGTGCGGCTGCGTCCTGGGGGCCCCGCCTCCTCTCAGCGGCCCCAAGGCCGGCCTCCCGCCCCCTTGGCCTCCCCGCCGCCCGCCTCCCTGGAGCAGCTGGCTGGCGGGCCGAGCGGGCCGGGCTGGTTGTGCGTGCGCGCGCGCTCGCGCAAATACGGCGGAGGAGCTGGAGGAGCTCCGGGCCTTTTCCGAGACGCCGGCCGAGTTGGGCTCAGTCCGGGGCGAGCGCGCGCGCGGCCGGGTCTGCGCTCCTCGCTCCTCGCAGGGCGGGCGCCGCGCCCCGGCGGCGGCGACCCCGGCCCGGGCCCCGCCACCGCCACCACCACCACCACCATGGGCTTCGAGCTGGACCGCTTCGACGGCGACGTGGACCCGGACCTCAAGTGCACGCTGTGCGGGAAGGTCCTGGAGGACCCGCTGACCACGCCGTGCGGCCACGTCTTCTGCGCGGGCTGCGTGCTGCCCTGGGTGGTGCAGGAGGGCAGCTGCCCCGCGCGCTGCCGCGGCCGCCTGTCGGCCAAGGAGCTCAACCACGTCCTGCCGCTCAAGCGCCTCATCCTCAAGCTGGACATCAAGTGCGCGCACGCGGCGCGGGGCTGCGGCCGGGTGGTGCAGCTGCAGGCGCTGCCCGCGCACCTGGAGCGCTGCGACTTCGCGCCCGCGCGCTGCCGCCACGCGGGCTGCGGCCAGGTGCTGCCGCGCGGGGACCTGGAGGCGCACATGCGGGACGCGTGCGACGCCAGGCCCGTGGGCCGCTGCCAGGAGGGCTGCGGGCTGCCGCTGACCCGCGGGGAGCTGCGCGCCGGCGGCCACTGCTGCGCGCGGGCCCTGCGGGCGCACAACGGCGCGCTGCAGGCCCGGCTGGCCGCGCTGCACAAGGCGCTCAAGAAGGAGGCGCTGCGCGCGGGCAAGCGGGAGAAGGCGCTGGCGGCGCAGCTGGCCGCGGCGCAGCTGGAGCTGCAGATGACCGCCCTGCGCTACCAGAAGAAGTTCACCGAGTACAGCGCGCGCCTCGACTCGCTCAGCCGCTGCGTGGCCGCGCCGGCTGGCGGCAAGGTAGGTGCCTGCCCGCCCGCCCAACCCAACCCTGCCAGGCCCAGGACGCAGGGCATGTCCCCTCCAGGTCCCCCGGGGCGCTGGGATGCATCCCTGCCCCTCCTCTTCCTGCTGACTGCCAGCCAGATGGATCGCCAGGAGCTGGGTGCCCAGTCCATCCAAGCTTGGGAACTGGGGTTCCTGCAGAGGGACCAGCGCACAGAGTGGCATAGGCCCCGGCAGCTGTAGGGCCTGGAGAGAGAGGAAAGAGAGAGGAACCCGCAGCCTGGAGAGAGCCAGGCCTGCTTCTAGTGTCCCTGCTCAGACCCGCTGCGGTGTCTTGGTGGGAAACCGTGGTCCCCACGCAGTGAGAAGATGGTGGTGGGGGCGGGAGGGAGGTCCAGGCTTCCCCCAGGGTCCAGGGCGAGGAAGAAGGAGGCCAGAGAGGCCGCAGGGGGGGTGGGAGGGGCAGGCTCAGGCCCCGAGTGCTGGCAGCAGCTGCTGACCTTGAGCGAGCCGCCCGGACAGGGATGGACACAGCCGGGCACCCTCTGTGCCTTCCACCCGGGATCCCGGAAGGGATTAAAGGAAGCGACACGGAGCATGAAGTAGCCCCTGAGACCGGGCCAGGTCTTGTGAATGTATTGCTGACCGGCTGGGTGACCTCGTGACGTGACCCAGTGGCTCCGGAGCCTCTAACTGTGAAGTGGGTGCTGTCAGCCCTCAGGGAGAGCGGCTGTGTGAGGAGGCCAGGCCCTGGGCCTGGGTGGGGATGGGAGGGGGTGGGGGTAAGTGCCCAGCTGTGCCTGCCGTTATCTGAAGGCCCCAGCCTCCCTGGTGCTTGCTGGGAGGTGGCGTCTCGCACTGTCTGAGGGCAGCTTTGCTTGGGGCCCGGCGCTGAGCACGCCTCAGCTGTTCCCCGTCTGTCTGTCTCGTCTGTAGATGCAGGAACGGAGGCCGGGGGACGGGAGGCCCTGGGCCTGGGACCCAGCTGTGAGGTGGGCGGTGGGGTCTCCAGCCCGGACCCCGGACGCCTGCCGTGTGGCCGCTGGCTGTAGCCACGGGTGCCGTTGGCTGAGGGTGGACGGTGCGCCAGCACCCAGGGCCGCGCTTTCTACGCAGCATCTGCCCAGTCCGCGGAGCGGAGCAGGGAGGCTCAGAGAGGACCCAGGGCTGCACAGAGCCAGACAGCAACTCGGGGGGGACAGAGACGGAACCCTCAGCTCCGCCTGGGCACCCACGGGCACAGTGGCCCATGATTCTCCGTTGTGGGATGGATAGCTGGCCGCATCCCTGCCTGGACCCACGAGATCCTAGTCGCACCAGCCCCCGCATTTCCACAACCTAAAATGTCTCCAGATATTGTCCAGTGTTCTCTGGCTGGGGGAGGGGGCGGGGAAATCACCCCCTGAGACCTGGGGTTTCCTGGTTGCAAACAGGGGGGCGGGACTCCCGCCGCTGCCCCTCTGGTTGCCTGTCCATATGGCTCCAAGGAGGAGACATACCTGCCCCCAGAGCCCCAGGCCTGCCTCTGCTTTCCCTCCCGCTGGCCCAGCCCCCTCCTCCCAGTGCACACCAGGCCCCAAGTCTCCCGACCCCTCTCCGGCCCCCCTCTGCCCGGCCCCGCCTGCCTGTCAGCTGCAGCCCTAGCAGCTGGCCTGGCCTCGCGGAGCTCAGGGCAAATATTTACAGCTCGGAGCTCACCGGGGCGCACAGGCTACAAAGGGGCGGAGGGGCCAAGAGTCACCCGGCGGGGCCCAGGCTGGTCCCAGGCAGGCGCCGGGCCGGCCGGGCCCAGGGGTCGGGTTCCTGCTGGCCGTGCTGTCCTCTGGCCGCCCTGCACGGCTTTAAGCGATCCTTGTTTATAAATAAGCCCTTCGCCCCCTCCCCCAGGGTTGGCACGTCACTCATTGTTAAGCGCGTTTATTATTCCTCTTGCCTTTTCTGTTTTCTTTCTGGAGTGTTTGGGAAAATTCTCCCAGCATCAAAAGTCCGGAACTTGGATGAACCCTGGGGGCCTGGGAAGCTCTGAGTGGGAGGGCCATCAGGGGGCCTTCAGCTGGGGGCCCAGATGTTGCCTGTGGCGTTTACAGAGCAAGTCTCCCGGGAGCCCCAACTGCTCCCTGGGCCAGCCGAGCCCCAAGAGTGGGTGGGAGGGTGAGCCCCAAGAATGGGGGGGTGTGTGGAGAGCTGTGCTGGTTGGTTCCTCTCTCGGGCCCCAGCCCCCCGCTTCAGCCAGGCCTCCCCCTCCCTGCAGCTCCTCTGGCCCCCGGTGCCCCCTCAGGGCCCTTGCGGCTTCCGGGCCCCAAGTCGTGTAAGAACCTACTTATTGCATCAGGTGAACTCTGTCCCCCCACCTCCCCAAAGGTGGGCTTCGATAACAGTTCCTTTGACTCTCAACCATTTTTGCTGTTTTGTGTTGTTTGGTTTTGTTTTTGTTCCTCCTCACCTAGGATATTTTCCCATTGGTTTTTAGAGAGAGTGGAAGGGAGAGGGAGAGAAACACCAATGTGAGAGACACATCAATTGATTGCCGCCCACTAACACCTTGACCAGGACCGGGGGACCTGCAACCCAGGTACATACCCTTTGACTGGAATAGAACCCGGGACCCTTCGGTCCTTGGGCCCGTCACACTATCCACTGAGCCACACAGGCTGGGGCTCTTTGAATTCACTTCTGCACGTCATCCTAGTGACTCACCCTTAGACCTGAGCGCTTCCTCTCCGTCCTTCCTCCGAGAAGTCCCTTTCCCTGGAAGGGAGGCGCGTGGCAGGGGCGGGGCGGGTGCACGCCGCTGACCACTAGGATCGGCTTGAAGGACGGGACACAGACTTCTGTGTAGGGAGTGAGACCCCGCCTTCTTTGGATGGAATGTCTGGCACCAACGCTGCTCCCCGCCCCCCGCCCCCGCCCTGCACATTTTTGCGCTTTCTTGTCCGCGGGCCGCAGACGGAGCCCTGTCCCAGCTGTCCCAGCTTCGCATAATCCGAGGCCGAGGTGTCGCGTCCCCCAGTTGCCCAGGCCGGCGGTCGGTCAATGACAGCCCTCGGCCTGCCCGCAGGAGCCAGGGACGCCCGCCTGCGTGGGGAGGGCAGAGTCTGCTCTGACAGACGTGGGTGGACCCTCCGAGGTGGCGAGCGTCCAGGCGTCCCAGCTGGGCTTTGGGGAGGGCAGTGACGCAGGAGAGGGACTTTGCCCGTAGAAGGCAGTTTGCCTTCTGTAACAATAAACAGCCGCCACGGGGTGTCTTCTGACGAAGGACACTTGATTTTTTTTTTTCCCTCGTTCCCTGGGACGTGTGGTCCCCCACCGTCCTTACCCAGTTAAGACTGTGAGTTGGAAGCTGGGCAGGCTGCGATCTGGGCAGTCTTAATATTGATCCAGTGCAGGGGCCGTTGGGATATTTATAACTTCATTCCCGGCCCAGACAAGGTTCCACTTAAGGAAAAAAAAAAAAGCAGCCTGCTCTGTTCGGTCAGATCTTTAGTTCACTCACCCCTCGTGCCTTGACCAGGCCAGACCCATGTGACTTCGCCGGCCTTCTGTGGCCCTCGAACTGGACATTCCCCACCCCTGCTCCAGGTGTCATCTTCTTAGAGAATCACCGTGAGGCCCTGCACACCGAGCTTCCTGTTTCTGCTGGCACTTCCTGGGGGATGTGATGTGACCGTCCAATAAGACCCTGCAGGGTTCTGGGGGCCCGGCTGCCCCTGGGCGGGGGCCCGGCTGGACGCCGGGGCACTGAGGAGCTGCTAGAGCCCCCTGCCCCTCCCCACAAGGAGACAGCGATGCGGCTGGACCCCAGGATGGCAGGAGTCTTCCTTTCCCACCGACCCCAGGCTCCCGGGGGGGAGCTCCCTGCTCCCTGGGTTCTGGCTCCCGGGGATGACACGTGCCGTCGGGGAAGAGAGCTTTGAAACGGATGTTCTCAGTGATGTGGTTCGCATTCTCCTTTCTGCTGCGTCTCGCGTTACCGCTCAGTTTCCAACGCTGACGAGTTACGTAGGCACCTAAGACAACACGCTCAGAGTTTACGATGAGGCGTTTCGTAGTTTAAAACGCTGCATTTAAGTATTCCCGTGTTGGGCTGAAACCGGTTTGGCTCAGTGGATAGAGCATCGGTCTGCGGACTGAAAGGTTCCAGGTTCGATTCCGGTCCAGGACATGTACCTTGGTTGCGGGCACATCCCTGGTAGGGGGTGTGCAAGAGGCAGCTGGTTGATGTTTCTCTCTCATCGACGTTTCTAGCTCTCTATCTCTCTCCTTTCCTCTCTGTAAAAAAATCAATAAAATATATATTTTTTAAAATAATAATAAAAATAAATAAATATTCCCGTGTTGGAACAGAAAACGAGCAGAGCCTATTGCGAGCTTCTAGCGGGTACACACACGTGATGTTGTACACACCGGCAACACATCAGTTCGTGTCGGCAAGCTTGGGGTAACGCCACACCTGTCGGTCACAGTTCACACGCGGGTTCATCTGTTCGTGTTCAATGTTCTGTTCCGTGATCGTTTGCTCGGCAGCCCTGGCTTCTCCATCCCCAAGGGCAGACGCCCACGGCCGTGAGTGCCGCCAGGCGACTCTGTGTGTGTGTTGTGAGGCGTCGTGATGACCTGCCCGCCTTACGCCGTCCGCCACTCCACGCTGCACCTCCTGTGGTCGCGGTGTCACCTGTGACAACGCCCGCCCTTTCCGTAGATCAAGATTTCTCAGGTTCCCTCGGGTTTGCACCTGATGTTTTTTGTTTGTTTGTTTTGCTTTGTTTTAATATTTTTATTGATTTCAGAGAGGAAGGGAGAAGGAGAGAGAGAAACATCAATGATGAGAGAGCATCATTGATCAACTGCCCCGTGCACGCCCCCGACTGGGGATCAAGCCCACAACCTGGGCGTGTGCCCTGACTGGGAATCGAACCGTGACCTCCTGGTTCATAGGTTGCTGCTCAACCACCTGACTTTCCCTGTGTGTCCCCAGCGTCACCCCAGCAGAGAGGACTGTGGTCGGCTGCACATGTGCTCAGACAGCCGGGCAGGCTGTGGGTTCCGTTCATGATGGGGGTCCTTGGGTGGGGAGCAGACAATCGTGCTGACAACCGGAGTACCCAGGGGCATCATGGGAAGACGCACTTGCAGACCCGGGTCTGATGGAAGGTGCTCGCTATGGATCTTTCACGGTCGCCCCAGGGCCACCAGGTGTTCGCACCCTAAACTGCGTGGCCCAGCAGTTCCCTTGCGCACGCTCCCCCAGAGGCTTAGCATGGGTGATGGTCAGCGGGGCGGCCCCGAGTCCACGTAGATGGAGCGAGTCCAGGCCCCCTGCTTGAGTTGGTGATGAACTGTGACCTCCTCTGTTCCCTTCAGGGCGAAGAGACCAAAAGCCTGACCCTGGTCCTGCACCGTGACGGGGGCTCCCTCGGCTTCAACATCATCGGGGGCCGGCCGTGTGCGGTAGGTGCTCCTTCCTCAGTGGTGCTCCTTCCCCGGGCGGCCGGGAGAGGGGCGGGCCTGGAGAGGGAGGGCAGAACCTCAGTCGTGTCCTTCGCTCACTCCTGCAGTTGGAGACTTCGTTATTTGTGTCTCCTCCCCACACTTGAGGACTCCGTTTGGTCCTCTCCTACTACGTGGCTTGTCCATGCTGCTCGGATTGGGGGTGACGTCTGCGTGTGGGGCAGTCGAGCTGCCCAGGTGGTGGGGTGCCTGCAGGTAGCACTCAATTGGAGTGTGGGCTCCGCTCCGAGTCATCGCCACGCATCGGGGATGGGCTCTGTTGTGGGTTTGTGAGCATCTGCCCTCCCCCACGGCCTGGTCCAGCCCCTTGTCCGGAGAGAAGGGGCCAAGTTCACATCCATCAGGGTAACTGCCAGGTGTGTCTGTCCTGGGCTCTGGGAGGAGGCAAAGCCGTGGTCAGCGTGTCAGCTCCAGGTGGGGTCACTCGGATGGAGTCATCACTCCCTCCTTTGCTGGCGTTTCCTCGTTTATTTATAAACCCTGCTGTGCACAGAGGTGCTGTCTCCCAGCTGGGTTGTTGCATTTATAGAACACAGGCAGATTTAGCATAATTTTCTCTCTTCTCTCTCTCTCTCTCTCTCTCTCTCTCGTTTCTCCTTCTCCTCCTCCTGCTCCTCCTCCTCTTCCTCCTTCCTTCCTTACCTGAGGGTATTTTTCCCATTGCTTTTCAGAGAGAATGAAAGGAAGGGAGGAGAAAGGGAAACATGGTTCCTAGGACTTCGGATTGAGCATTGGCTTGAACTTGAAGCCACAGCTGCATGAGCCCCTCACAGGAGAGTTGGCCTGTCCTTGGGGCTTTGACACCGGCACTGACATCTCCTTTCCGGGTTATGTCTTCTCCCCACAAATGTCAGAACACACACAACATTTACCCAATCAGTTGGCCATCTCTCATGGACCTGGCATGTGGAGCCCAAACAATTACAATAGAAGCATCAGAGGTGACTCACCTCAGATCAGGTGACGCACGTAATGAGGATGAAAATGTTAGGAATGCTGAGAGAGTTACCACGTGTGACACAGACACGCGGCGAGCAAGCACTGTTGGGAAAACGGTGCCGACAGACGCGCTGACACAGCACATCTGCCCATCACAGGGGGCCCTGAAGTAGGCTGTCCATCTGTCCATCATGGAGGCCCGGTTGTAGGCTGTCTATCTGTCCATCAAGTGGGCCACGCTCGGCACACCCACAGTGTTCTTTCAGAGTTCTCATCCTGAGGAGCATCGCCTCCGCCCCTCAGAACCGCAGGCTGTGGTCAGGCCCTCCCGGCATCTCACCACCCAGCCAGGTCCCTCCACCTTGACCACAGCTGCTTTAAGTGCCTTCGGGGAGGAGCCAAGCAGGAGATGCTTTTTTCAAGAAACAAGTCCCAGGGGTGGACTTGATGGTTTCCTTTGACTTCTGTTCTTATGGTCTTTTTAAAGAAATTTATTTTTATTGATCTCAAATAGGAAGGGAGAGAGAGAGAGAAAGAGAGAGAGAGAAAGAGAAATATCAATAATGAGAGAGAATCATTGATTGGCTGCCTCCTGCACTTCCCCTACTGAGGATCAAGTCTGCAACCTGGGCATGTACCCTGGACCAAGAATCGAACTCTGACCTCCTGGTTCCTAGGTCAACGGCCAACCACTGAGCCACGCCGGCCGGGCCTACACGGTCTTGCTTTAACCTAAACTGGTGTGTGCTCGTGCCCCTTCCCTCCCGGTTTTGCTGGGACGTTCCGATGCTCCTAGAGAACAGGGCCTCGTGTTGGATGTCGTTTTCAGCAAGAGGAGCCGGAGCCAAACCCCATCCCATCTCCCTCTTCCTTCCAGCCAAGAAATGCACGGCCGTTAGAGCAGAGCGAACACAGATCCCTTTCACTCGCTCTGCTGACATCACCTCCGAGGGAGCTCAGGCTTGTCCATAAATCCTTTGTGGTCCACGGAGGCGTCGCAGCGTCTCTGGGGGAATGTCCCGCCCCCTGGAATGCGTGTGTGTGTGTGTGTGTGTGTTGGACGTTTCTCAGTGGGAGACAGTATTGCCCTCAGAGTGCGTGCTCAAACAGTGGCGCGTTCAAACCATCCTGGGTTTGAGTCTGACCTATGCTACCTTTTAGCTGTGTGGCCTTGGGTTAGTTACTTGACCTCTCTGTCCCAGGTTTTCCGAGTAGGGAATGCGTACGAATAGTGTGCATTGCATGGTGGGCATGGAGCTCCCGGCCAGCCTGGTGCCTGGCCTGTGCTGCCTCAGTGACCCTCACGCACACCTGAGAGTTGCATGTAGGCAGCGACAGGAGCCACGGGGTCAGGGCTTAGGTGAGGCGGCTGCAGGAGGCGGGGGCCCATGGAGGCTCAGGCAGTGCAGGCGACCGTGCAGCAGGCCATGCAGGGTTCGGGGAGAGGCGGGGAGCAGGAGGTCTGGGACAGCAGGCCCACCTGGCACCCACCATCCCACTGACCCCTCCCTCCAGGAGAGTCTGGTAGGATCCAGGGGGCAGTTAGAGACCGGCCTTGTCCCAGGGGGTAGGTACTGGGGGGACACTGCTCGTGTGAGGTTGTGACTTGGGGCTCTGTGAGTCCCAGTTACAGCTCCGTGTGGCTGAGAGGGATCCCCTAAGCTTAGGCTGTGGCACTTGAACAGGAACCACCTTCAGGGTCCTCCCTTCCCTCCCCTGGGGGAACACAGGGCTTTATGGCTGTTCCAGGAGGAAAATATGGTCTTTTCATAGTTTTGTGGGTTTTTTTGTTTGTTTGTTTTTAATGTGTAATTTTTATTGATTTCAGAGAGGAAGGGAAAGGGTGAATGAGGGAGAGAGACACATCCACGATGAGAAAGAATCACTGATCAGCTGCCTCTTGCACACCCCACACTAGGATGGAGCCTGTGCCCTGACTAGGAGTTGAACCTGGGACCCTTTGGTCTGCGGGCCAATGCCCAACCACTGAGCCATTCCGGCGAGTAGGGAATGCGTACAAATAGTGTGCATTGCATGGTGGGCATGGAGCTCCCGGCCATCGTTATGTTTAACCAGCGGCGTTCCGAGTTTGGGTGCAGACGGGCAGGGAGGTGGGTCTGTGGGACCGGGCAGGGCGCCTCCGCCACACGTGCTTGGCGTGGGTGTGGAGCGGTGGGCCCTCTCGGTGCTGTGTCTGGAAGCCACACGTGTTGGGCGTTCCGTTTCCACGTCGCTGGCGCTCGGTGCCAGGCTCGGAGAACCCACCACTGTGCCCCGTGGGCAGACGGCCGTGCCCAGGCTTAGAGGGCGCGTGTTCTGAGCGTGGGGTGGGGGGGGGCATTTGGGCTTTGAGAAAAGGAAGGTGTGCGGGCAGGAGGCTCGCTCCTGCCCCGGAAAGTTTCCGTCCCAGCATTGGGAGACTTACAGGGATTTGAGGAGGAGGGGGAGGGGGTCAGAAATTATTAGGGTGGGGAGTGGGGGGGTGATGGCTTTTCTGAGGCAAACCAGAGCAGAACTAAAACACTGCTGTCACCGTGAGTGGATTCCACAGGGGAAAGCTGTTGAGAATCACTAAGTTAGGTGAAAGCATCGGTGAAGTGCCGTACTTTACAAGCTGGTCGGCATCACCGTGAGCTCTGTGCAGGTGACCGTGGGGGAAGCGCCTGTCTGGGCCCATCCCTGAAACTGTCGGGGGGGGGGGGGGGTACATGGCCAGAAGTGGCCAAATGTGCATGCCCTTTGCCCCGACGCTCCCTGGCTGGGGTTTGCCCCACAGCCACACCAGCAAAGCTGTTTGAGAACGCAGGGGGAAGGAAGGCCCGGCCCCCGTGGCTCAGCTGGTTGGAGTGTCCTCCTATGCGTCCAAAGGTCTCGGGTTCGATTCCCCGCCTGGGCACATCCCCAGGATGCAGGTTCCATCCCCAGGCGGGTGTGCACAGGAGGCAACTGATCAATGTTTCTCTCTTGCACTGATATCTCTCTCTCTCTCCCTCCCCCTTCCTATTTCTAAAAATTCAATAAACATATCCTCGGGAGGATTAAAAAGCAATTTTAAAAATGCAGGAGGGAGGTGTCAGCACAGCCTGCCTTTCTCAGCCACACCTAGAGCAGGGCTTATGTCTCCGTGTTGGGTGCTGTTCAGCCCCTGAGGGAGTCAAGCCAACCGTGGGACTGAGGGAAACTCGGCCTGATTCTTAAAGTGACAGCGGCAACGTGAAGAGGGGCAGACACAGGAGGAGAGGGGCAGACACGAGGGGCAGACACGGTGGAGAGGGGCAGACACAGGAGGAGAGGGGCAGACCAGGAGGAGAGAGGCAGACACAGGAGGAGAGGGGCAGACAAGGAGGAGAGGGGCAGACACGGTGGAGAGGGGCAGACACAGTGGAGGGGACAGACATGCAGAGAGGTGGCACATGCCTGGTGTTTACAGGAAGTGTGACCACTGACCAGGGCTGCCTGGGCTGCAGGTGGCCAGGCTTGTTCTGTACCCTGTGAAGTGGTTTGAATAGTTTTACCATCGTCTGTGCCCCTTCCAGTTTAGAGCCTGCGCTCACCTGTGTGTTTCCCTCCCAGGACCACCAGGACGGCTCATCCAGCGAAGGCATCTTCGTGTCCAGGATCGTGGACAGTGGGCCGGCGGCCAAGGACGGGGGCCTGCAGATCCACGACCGCATCGTGGAGGTAAGTGGGCGCGGCCAGCGAGGGCCCGGCTGAGGCCGCAGCGTCCGCTCCAGGGCCACGGGCCTGACGGTGGGCGTGCGCGGGCACCGTGTCCGGCCGTGCGGGACGGGCGTCGGCTGTGCGGTGCAGGCCCGTGTGCGTGACCTACCCAGGACCCTGTCTCGAGTGCTGGGGTCACCGCATGGTCTTTGCTCGTGGCCGTGCGTGGGCTCTGTGTCGCGGGGAGCTCTGCGTGGAAGCCCTGGGCGCTCTGCCTGGCGCCGGGTGCACAGGGGGCCGTTCCCGCCGGGCCCGGGGACAGCTGTGTCAGCGCGGTGTGGTTCCCGGTCCCCGGGCTCGCAGCTCGGCGTTTCCGTGTTCATCCGTGTTGGTCTTCGCCGCCGGTTGGTTGTAGGGGCTGGCTGTCGGGGACGCACAGGCGGCCTGTGTTCAGGATGTCACGCCGTCCACCTGCCAACGTCCTGCTCTCCGCGCCGTGGACCAGGCTTGTGCGTGGACGCAGCGGGGGCCTCGCCCCACAGCTCGTGGTGTCCCGGCGCCCGGCTGCCTGCCCAGGGGCGGACCGCTCGCCCTCCTTGCGCGGGCTCTCGTCGCCATGTTTGCACAGAGGAGCATTTTGCAGGAGTGGCTGACATCTGATGGCTCTCTGGTGCATGGACACGTGGGCTCCGTGCGTGGGCAGCGCTGGCGGGCGGCCTGGACCGTGGCCCACGGTGCAGTGCGTGGCCCACGGAAGCTCGTGCGTTCAGGGGGCACGGTGTCGGCCAGCCCACAGCGCCCAGGTGCTCGCATCCTGCACACGTGCACGCGGCCTCTGGGTTTCTCGGGTGCTTTCCTGGCCCGTGTCCCACGCGTGGGCCAGGCTGGGAGCCGAGCCGGGGGGGACATGTGGGGCCGGATGACTGCGCTCCTGTCTCCCTCAGGCGCGTCCCTCCGGAGACAGCAGGGCAGGGGGGGCAGGGAGCTCACTGGCTGCGAGGAGCAGGCGGGTTTGTGACCAGGACACTGTTCGTATCTCCGCGGCCGGTGGCTTTTTGAGGTTCTTAAACCCGGGGCTCCTCCTTCCGTGACTGGGCGTGCCCGTGGGCCCGGCTGTCTTGTTCCCGGGAGAGTGGGCGCCTCGGGGAGTCCCGTCCGGAAAGGTACGAGCAGCGCCCTCCTGGAGCCAGCGGGCCGGAGGGCAGCCCGCTTCCCTCTGCGTGGATTCCAGCCGTGTCCACGCGCACAAGGTGGCAGGCGGAGACCCTGCCGAGGAGGCCGAGCTGTACTTACCCTGCTGACCCCAACGTCCATTCTGACATGTACCCCAGAGTCTCACCCCTGCCGGTGGCCGTCTGGGTCCTCCCCTGCGGCCAGGTGGCCGTCGGCTCTGATATGGGCGTATACTCCGGCCTCTGCACCTGCACCCACGGGCCCGGCGGGCAGGGGTGGCCCTGAGGTTGGCAGGTCGGTGGGGTGGAGCGTGGGGATGGTCTGGAGCAGGTCACGTGACCGAGCTTTGTGTCTGCCATGTCCCCAGGACCCAGCACCCCGCCTGGCGCAGGGGGTTCGCCCGGGAAACCTCTGTCACTGACTTGGCCATAGATTTCCAGTCACACAGCCAGCTTCTGGGGGTCACACCGCAGGAGGTCAGAGGTTAGAGCAGGAGAGGCAGGCGACCTCTGGCAGCGACAGGTGGACTCGGCCAGCTGTCCCCACGGGAATAGCGGCGGCTATAAATAGCCTGGTCTCCGGTGCCGGGCGGGGCGGGGCGGGGCCGGGGTGAGGGGTGAGGGGTGGGGTGGCGATGGGGGTTCAGGAGCAGGCAGCTGCTTTATTTGGAAGCAAGTGAGTGACTGTCGCTGCCGGAGAGGAGGAGTGGAAGCCCTGTGATGGCTTTTTATGTTTTTTAAGAGATTTTAGAATTGATTTCGGAGAGGGAAGGGAGAGGGAGAGGGAGAGAAACATCCGTGAGGAGAGAGAACCACTGATGGGGCGCCTCCTGCACGCCCCACACTGGGGATTGAGCCCACAACCCAGGCATGTGCCCTAGACCCTGACCGCCGGGTTCATAGGTCGATGCTCAACCACTGAGCCACACTGGCCAGGCCGGGCTTTTTATTTTATTTTATGATTTTATTTTTTAAGACAAATCTAAAGGCGTGATGCGAAGGGGAGGGGATCAGCGTTGGAGATGCCGCTCTGGGTTTTAGGAAGGAACCGGGACAAGCGGCTGCACTTCTGATGCCCAGATTTCGTGTCCTGGTGACAGTGACAGCCCCTGAGCCACGTGCTCTTGGGGTTCACACTTTACCCCGAACCCTCCCCCCCTCCTCCACCCCAGCATGTCTGCCCGGCAGGTGCGCCCGCTGCTCCTGCAGCCGAGCAGGTGGGAAACACTTCGCGTGGGTCACCTGTGCTCCGCTGTCTCCGTGGCTTGGGTGGGGTCAGTGTAGCTGAGTTCCGGAAGGTTCCTTCTCCCCCTGGCGTTTTGAACGTGCCGTTTTCTGCCGCGGGATTCTCACCCACCTCCCAGGACACGAGGGCTTCCTACAGACAGGTGGTCGGGGAAAGGTGGGCCTGGGAGGGAGGGCCTCTCTGGAGGGGAGGTGACGAGGGTCAGACGAGAGCTCCATTTTTTAATTCTTTGAGGAAACGCCATCCTGCTTCCCACCACGGCCACGCCCGTCTGCATTCCCGCCACCGCCCTGCGACTGGGCTCCCCGTCCTCCACTCCCGCCAGCACTGCTGTGTGTGGACCTGCTGATGGCGGCCCTGCTGACGGGGTGAGGGGCACAGCTTGTTGTGGCGTTCACCTGTGTCTCTGATCATGCGTGGCATGAGCGTGTTTTCATACGTCTCCGGGCCACCTGCATGCCCTCTTCCGAGCAGAGTCTCTTCCGGCAGCCCTTGCCCACTTTTTGTTGGATTGTTTGTTTGTTTGTTTGGTGTTGAGTTGTATGCATTCTCTGCCTGTTGTGGAGATTCACCCTGGATCAGCTGTATCATGTAGAAGGCCGCCTGGGAAGGCACACGGGCCATTTTCCTTCATTATCGTCAGCTGAACTCAGGGTGTAGGCAGAGCCACGCCTTGGGAACATGTTTCCCCAAGATGGCGGGTATGTTGTCAGCTTGGCCTTCCTATCAGCCCAGGTGTCCGCAGGGGCAGGACTAGATATGTAAACCCAGGCATGCTAGGGCCTACTGAAGAATGCAAATAAGTTGGTGTTACTTCCTGGTATCCGGGTATAAAATAAATGCGCTGGAAGGGGTCGTCTTTGGTCTTTGTCTTCCTGCCTCGCCAGCAGACAGGATGGCGGTCCACCCAGCTCCCAGCTTTAAATCTACCTCTGTGTCTTCTCTCTTTATTTCTATTATTTCTCAATCCCTGGCCGCCTCCACCTAGAACCAGTTCGTTCATCTCTGTTTCCCTGTGGGACGCGGAAAAGGGAGATCCCGGCCATGTCTGGCCCCCACTACCATCGGTGGCCCGTCTTCTCGCTAGTTGCTGGTTTCCTGGGCTGAGCAGAAACCTCATAGTCTGACGTGGCCCCGTTTGTGGATCCCGAAACCACGGAAGTCCTAGAAGACGCCACAGGCAGTGACGCCACGGACAGTTCTCTCCCGGATGCTTTTGTGGCTGAATCTCCCGGCCCACAGGAAAGGAAGCAGAAACGACCAGGGTGCTCGCAGACATTAAGGCCATCCCGTCGTGTTACACGAGTCCCCGTGTTTGCAACGAGGATGGAACCCTGCCCGCGTGGAGGTTTTCTGCGCGTTCTGGAGCTAACGGTTTTAGGGCCGCGTCTCCGTGTCTCCTCGCAGCCTGGGGAGAGCTGGGGTGTGGACCAGGCGCCCTGGGCCTCACACTGCCGCTGGAGTTGTGTGGAAGTGATTGTTTAGCACAGGACTGGGCAAAACTGGGCGCCACAAGGATTCAGGAAACGTGGATTCGGTAGAACAATGAGCTTCGTGTCTTCTGGGCTCAGTCAGGATTGGCCACGGCCTTTGGCTGTGTTGTGGGAACAAATGTGCTTGTTGGACCGAACTGGTGACTTCATCTGTCTTCTCAGACGTGTTGGGGAGGCCGGGCAGGGCTTACCCCCTCCCCCCCATCAGCTCCCACAGCCTCAGCCAAGAAGGCACGCCTGTCCGGGCCGTGGTCTGGGTGCTGAGGGATTGGCGGTCGAGAGACCACGAGAGGGGAGTTAGCCTGTGCTTAGCGGCAGCTTCGGCCCCGGGAGGTGCTTCATGTCGGACACTTTTTCCTTTGGAGACGAGTGTCACATATCGGAGGGCCCGGCCGGCTCGTTAATCCTGACAGCTGTTCCTGCTCTGTGATGTTGGAAGGAAGGGCGTTTGCCCCGTTAATGTCAGCCTCCCGCCTCGCACACCCTTAGTGTCCGAGGACGTGCTGATGGCCTTCCTCGTGCCAGGAGCCGGGAGCCAGGAAACCTGTGCTGTGGCTGAGAGAGAACAGTCTGTCCTCGGGGCGGGAACACCCAACAGGATCTGCTGAGATTTATTTATTTATTTACTAGAGGCCCAGTGCACGAAATTTGTGCACTCTCTGTGTGTGGGGTGGGGAAGGGGGAGCTTTCCCTCAGCCTGGCCTGCGCCCACTTACTGTCCGGGAGCTCTTGGGTGATGTTCGGCTGCCTACAGGCAGGGGAGGTGCCTGCCCGCTGTGAGCCCAGCTTAGGGCTGCTGGCTGAGCGGCGCTCCCCCTGGGACAGTGCGCTGACTACCTGGGGGCAGCTCCCGCGTTGAGCATCTGCCCCCTGGTGGTCAGTGCATGTCGTAGCGACTGGTCATTCCGCCATTCGGTTGATTTGCATATTAGCCTTTTATTATATAGGATTTTAAAGATATTTTCTTGATTTCAGGGAGGAAGGTGGGGGGGAGAGAGAGAGAGAGAAAACATCACTGATGAGAGAGAGTCATTGATCGGCTGCTGCCTGCATGCCCCCTACTGGGGATCAAGCCTGCAACCCAGGCATGTGCCTTGACCAGGAATCGAA